TGAGTATAAAACGATTGTTAAGAAAATTGCATCGAAAAGCGCCGACTACGAAGATGAAAATCCAAGAAAAAAATTCAGAAAATCATCGATTGACTCTTGTCAAAAGAAACGCTGTGCTCGAGTAATATCACTTAAATACCACCCATATCCATACCATATTAAAAATAGGGAAACAACCAAATTCACAGTTAATGAACCACTTTTATTATGTGGATTCAAATGTGATAAAGTATGGGTATCTGTTGATGGAAAGTATGGTAGTGTGAACGAAAATCTACCGACCAAAGTGACAATCTCTGAAATTTCAAAGCTGTCTAATGAGGAAAGTATACTACATGGTGAAAATGTAAGCATCGAGCCAAATATATACCTCGAAGTAACCTTGGTTAAACCAATACTCATTCGACCTGGATTCATGTATGCCATTCATATGGAAATGTCACCGCCTGAAAATGCATGTACTGGTGTTCTGTTGAAATCAGAAGTGAAATTTGATTCGGACATCACTATTCAATTTCATGACGATCCGACCATAGATAATACTGCTAGAGGTTTAATTTACGAACTTTTATTCAACCAAATTTAAAATTAAAAAAATATTTTTTACGCATTCAAAAAATGAGTTCTATTTTTTTGTACTCCCGTCTATAAGTCCAGCTTTACCATACCAGCTAGACTTGAAACTCCCAATGCGAATATCAAAATATAAATGCTCAAAATACAAATTTATATTGATTTACTAAAAATCGATGTTGAAGTCTATCCTGAAATTACTGATCAACTGCATGAATCATTAGGTAAGGATTACATTGCCAGAAGACTGGTTATGGCATTTGAATTTAATGAAATATGAAATACAAAATCGAATCGAATATCAAACTTCTAGCAAAAATAATTTTCAAAAATTTGTATGCGTGTATAAAGGAACAATCAAAACATAAACAAAAATGACATTTGTCTCCCATCACTTGAGTACTAAATCCAGTACTGAACCCATACAATGATATATGTGTCACTTTTACTTTACGATCATAAATAAGCACATATGTGTATTGGATCGGTATAATAACAATTCAACACTAAGATAATAACATTCAACAAGTGTCAAATAATCTTTTTTTTTGTTCTTTTTATGCCTTCAACAAGAATTTTCTGTCTCCTTATGAAAGTCTGACAAATATTAGCTCACCATTAATTTTGATTTAGTTGAAAAAGCTTCTTTTTTCGTTAATTTTTTTAATTTGGAGCTAAATTCAACCGGTGTTAGATTGAGGAATCATTTCATAGAGCATTCAAATTATTAAAGGTGACACAAATGTTTGACCGATTTTTAATAAACAGGTTTGAGAAATCAAAAAACATTCAATTAAATCTGTACCCATTAAAAACATAATACGAAAATCGCTTTGTTTTGTTTAATTTGACATCAACTCTATTGCGACTAAATCTCAAATCAAATACAAAGGGTTTTATTGTCGGTGATATTGGCAGTTTTCAATTGAAAGTAAGAGAACAATTTACCAACATATATCTTTACCATATTCATTATTTTCCATTTCGTTTCAGAACCACGACTGTAAAAGTGTAGTTCAATAATTGCTATAATATAAATTGGTTTTTAGAAATAAATTTTGCGGCAGTCATGTTGGCCACCAACCAAGTGTCGAATGATTACGAAATTAAAGGCATCCAAACGATTGGCCAAGAGTTGTACTTGAAAGAAAAATGGGCTGACTTCCATTTCGAATTTGAGTCAGCCGATGGTCCATACAACCGAATTCCAACACATAAAAGTTTCTTAGCCACAATCAGTGATGTTTTTGGTACCATGTTCAATGATTCATGGAAAGAGAAAAACTCGGTTAAAATTGTGGACGCATCGATCGACGAATTTAAGGAATTTCTGCAGTTCTTTTACTTGAGCCGAGCACAGTTGACGAAAGAGAATGTGGCCAAAGTCATGTATCTCGCAGACAAGTACAATGTACAGGAATGTTTGCGAATGTGTGAACAATTTATGACACTTTTGCTATCCACTGACAATGTATGTTGGGGCTATGATCTCGCCATTCTTTACAATCAAGCATTTTTGAAAAAATATTGCGAAATAATTATCGCTCTCGACACGAAGGCCGTATTTTCTTCGGATAGTTTTCTCGAGTGTAGCAAAGATGCAATGTCCAACATTTTGCAGATGAATGCATTATCCTGTTCAGAAATTGAATTATTTGAAGCATGTATTGCATGGTTGAAATCGGTGAGCCAACAAGACGAATTGACTAATGAAATTGTTCAGAAATATCTGGGCGATTCATTCTACAAAATTCGATTTGCTACAATGACGTTACAGGATTTCACAGAACAATGGATCCAGTATGAGCAATTATTCACATTTGATGAGTATAAAACGATTGTTAAGAGAATTGCATCAAAAGGAACCAGTTTAGATCATGAAATGTCAAGAGAGATATTCAAAGCATTTTCATCAATATTTCCGAGTGTAGGTTGTTCTCGATTTATATCAAATAAATACTCCGAAGTGCCATACTACATTAAAAATAAGGAAACAACGAAATTCTCGGTCAATAAACCACTTTTTCTAAGTGCCATCATATGTGATGCAATATTTGAGTTTATTGATGGAAAATTCAATACATATGAGAAGGAATGGGTACCGACTAAAATGACCATCGCTGAAATTTCAAAGCTAGCTGATAAAGAAATCATACTACATGCTGAAGATATAAACATGAAGCGTGACGCGCACACCGTAGTATATTTGAATAAACCAATACTTATTCGACAGGGATTCGTTTATGCAATTCATATGGAAATGTCACCACCTGAAAAAGCTTGTACTGCCCTTCTGTTGAAATCTGAAGTCAAACTAAAGGATTCGGATATTATCATACAATTTCATGACGATCCGACTAGAGATGATGACAAAGATGTTGCAAGAGGTTTAATTTTTTCTCTTGGATTCAAAAAAATTTAAATACATTACCACTAAGTAATAACCATTGTAGATGTTCATGTTTGCGTAAGCTCTTCAAGTAAACAATAAAAAAAATCTTATTTCTGTATCGAGATATGATGACCGGAATTTTGCAAGAGGCTTCCCAATTGGCAATTTAAATTCAAACAAATTTAAGATAAAAAATATTTTTTTAATCCAAAAAAATTGTTCTCTTATTTTTTTTCGTATTCCCGCTTATAAGTTCAGCGTAACCATTCTACACTTACTTGAAAATTTCAAGTAGAAATGTCCTTTGTGAATATCAAATTCAATTTCTCATTAGTAGATCAACTGTATGATTCGTTGGTTGAAAATTACGTCGCCAGAAGATTGGTTACGGCATTTGAATTTAATGAAATATGAATTACAAAATCGAATCGAGTATCAAACTTCTAGCAAAAATAATTTTCAAAAATTTGTATACGTGTATAAAGGAACAATCAAAACATAAACAAAAATGACATTTGTCTCCCATCACTTGAGTACTAAATCCAGTACTAAACCCATACAATGATATATGTGTCACTTTTGCTTTACAATCATACACAAGCACATATGTGTACTGGATCGGTATAATAACAATGCAACGCTGAGAGAATAACATTCAACAACTGTCAAATAATCATTTGTTTGGTTCTTTCTTACGTCTTCAACAAGAATTTTCTGTCTCCTTATAATAGTCGGACTAATATTAGCTCACCATTAATTTTGATTAAGTTGGGAAAGCAAACAGTTCTTTTTTCGTTAATTCTCTTAATTCGGAGTTAAATTTAACCGGTGTTAAATTGACGAGTCATTTCACAACGCATTGAAATTATCAAAGGTGATTCATGTTTCACTGATTTTTAATAAACAGGTTTGAGAAAGAAAAAGAAAGCATTCAATCCAATCTGTACCTTTAAAAAAATATCATTTCAAAAACGATTTTTAAAATTTAAAAGTAACTGGATGATTTTTATTTCTTTTCATTTATTTAGTTTGACATCAATTGCGGCTAAGTCTAACCTCAAAGTCAAAGAGTTTTTATTTGTTGGTGATACCGGCTGTTTCCAATTGAAAGT